GACAAGAAATGCAAAACCTGCCAACACATCTCCACCACCCCCACTATTACTACACCCCACAACAGAGCCATCAGCATTCCTGGATCTTACAGCTGCACCTCCAGAAATGTGATATATCTCATCCAATGCACCAAATGCCCTGATGGACAATACGTAGGAGAGACCAAACAACAACTGCGCACCAGAATGAACGCACACCGGAAATCTATCAAAGACAGAAATACCCAATTACCGGTGGGGGCACATTTCTCACAAGAAAACCACTCTCTCTCCAATCTCTCAGTCCTGATCCTCAAAAGGAACTTGCAAAACACTTCCCAGAGACGAGCCTATGAACTCCACTTCATCAACCTCCTGGATACTAAAAATCATGGATTAAATATAGACATTGGATTTATGACACATTATAACCTACCTGACATCTGACTCCCCAAGTATCTCTCCACTATTCATCCCCGTTCTCTCTCTTCCCACCCCCGACCTACCCAGCCTGTCTCTCACCCATTGACTCCTCAGTCTACATTTTCACTGACTGCCTGTCTTGTATGCATACCAGCCCAGCCCCTGGCTTCTTCACTTTTCATTCCATCCAGGAAGAGCACACACCAACTGCTGAAACTTCCTTAGCCTGATAAAGGGTTTTTGAACCTTAAAGCTTGCTTAATAATTTAATAACTTAATAACTATTTTCCAACTATTTGGGTTGGTCTAATAAAAGATATCAGATTCAACCAAGGAACCTTGTTCCCTGCTTAATACATTCACCCCAATTTTGGAAGGAAAAGCTGTGTGTTACATACAAGAAAATATGTTAAGACTCTGGAAGAAAAGCCAACTTCAGCTGGCCAACAATGCTCGCATCCAAAGCTGTTCTGAAATGTTTTGTTATGTGCCTGTGTCTAGGCATATGGACGTCGATGACTCTCCATAGAGGTATGCGTGTCTGAGTAGGGGCAATACTGAAGTCCTCTTGGTCTTGCCTCTGGGATTTTGTTTTAGGGTTTATTTTGGTTGTTTTTGTTTTGTTTTGTTTTGTTTTGTTTTTCCGCATGGAGGTAGCTACACTTTTATTCTCCTTCTAAAATCTTACGTAATCAGCTGAAAGTCAGGAAAAGTTGACTCAGGTAATGAAACAGTTCAAGAGAAATTACTTCTTTTAAGCGTAACATGTCATCACCTTTTTATACCTTTTATACGATACATCCTTACACTGGGAAAGTCTTTTGGACAACAGTACTTAGAGCTCTTTTGAGGAAATGTTTGGGGGGTTTTTTGTCCTGAATCCAGTGTTGTCAGGTTTAGTCATTCCTGTAAAATGCCATTTTCTCCCCTACTCTGCTGTGTCATTTTCATTGTACACTCCAGCATCAGTAAATCTCATCAGTTCCTTTTCAGTTTGTCTCAGAAATCTGTTTTTCTCCTGGATCACTTATTTTTGAAGCTACCAAGTCACAAAAGTTACTATAATAGAAACTGAAAACAAGGAGAGAGCTTCTAGATGTGTTTATTTTATAAACTTCTAGTATGAAATGTAAATGTGTAATGCCAATGTAAGCATTGGTGGGAGCAATTAGTAATTTTACAAAAAATAAATTAATTAGAGACAAAACAAGAACGATCCTTTCACTGAGCTTTGTATCTCTGTCTCTGAATAGGTTTAAATCAAGCTTTTTATTACAAAGGTTTTCAAGCAATAAATTACGATCGTGAGATAGCATTGCTTCAGTGTCCTCCATTTCAGCAAGATTGAAAGACACTCATGAGAAAAGGAAAACTCTTGGGCCTTTATTCTGCTTTCACTTTTAAAAGTTTGTACTGTTGTAACTACACTGGCTGTAGGAGCCTGGCAAAGCTGCTATTAATTTATACCATGCCGTTGACAGAAGACTGTGGCCCAATAATGTTCTATTTACAGGTGGTCCAACTGAATTTCCAGTAATGTCACTTGAGCCTTTCTATGGCATTTAGTAGAAGTTAGACTGAAGTTGCAAATCCTTTCTAATGGTTCAGGTGGAGTGATGGGTCTTGCTGCCCTCAAGAGCTGACAGACTTTGGCTTTTAACTGTTTGGGTACCTAGCAGCCTGGACAGATGACACATTTATACCAGTACATCTCATACTGGAATCTGCAGTAGACAGCTATGCAGCTATCCCTAGTTATTTGTTATAGCACCTTGCCACTAGCTGGCAGGAGAGCAAGTATTATTCTGTTTGCCTTAAACAACTACCCTTGAATAAGCTGTAAACAGACATCACCAGTTACAGTGGTATAACCTACACAAGTGCAGTATTACTCTTGACTCATTGATGAGCAGTTCTACAATGTATGGGTGAAGTTGACCCAGCATAGGGGTTTGATGTCTGTTGTCTTTGTTTTTACATCACTGTGAGGGATGATTCTATTGGCATAAATGTTTAATCTGTTCAGGTCCTAAACATACATTTCTCTATTTTCAGGTGCTTGTGTTCCTCTTGAGAACAGCCGTGAATTTTCTAGGCTTTTAAGGTTTGCATTTATTTTACTAAATATGAAATTCTTGTAAGGCTTTTACTCTGAGATTATATCTGCTCTATACTGTTACTCTCAGTTCTGTTTTCATGAGGGCTGCTCTAACTTTCATTAGATGGAGTTCACAGTGCTACCACCTGGGCATGCCACCAGGGTAGTCTGGGCATGCTTTCTGTGGCCCCTTGTTTAAGGAGGAAAACATAAGAGCTGGCTTCATAGGTCTATTGGCAACTTCTCCAGGGGAGATGAAGAAACCTCCAGCAAAAGACTTGTGCGTGGTTTCTGCTCTCTTTGCAATCCCTGAAAAACTCAAAAAGAATAAAATAGAGCAGAAAATATGACCCAAAATACTGATCATGGCTTCTTGATTTCTTTGAAATATTATGTTCAGTCTTCATGCCGTAAAGGTCAGGCACTCGAGGAGGGCCTCTGTTCTCTGAAGTTTTGCATACCTACCACGCACATCTGCAAACATCGAAATGGATCCAAAGGAACTCCAAACAGTCCCTTGGAAGAGAGAGCATGATAAAATACAGACCCTGCCCCTTTCAACTCTTTCTAGAATTTTTTTAAGACCCATTTCTTTGCTTTTATCCACACCCCACAATGGAGGAGATGGGTACTTCATCAAACTAAATTTGCTACATCATATTTCCATAGCAACAGACTTTTTGTTATGTCACAAACACAGGACTTGTGATTTCACAGAGGGACAAAGCTGAAGGGAAAGCTGGCCTGAAAGAGAAAAGGCTCTTATCAAAAGTAAAAAATTACAGCAAAATGAATATGGCCAAGGAAATTGCTGCTTCTACAAATGTTCTTTTCCTTCCATACTGTGCTTCAGTATGAAAGTCCCTCTTTAAAATACTCAGTATTCAGGGGAATGGAGAATTTATGTAAAAAATGTCTCTCTCATTCTAACATATTTTTTCTGGCAACTCTGAATGGCAGGACTGAATAGCAGAGAATAAAAAAAATGTGTGAGTATTTAGCAGAAATAAATGGATGTAATAATAGTCAGAAACACAGTAATGCTAGGGCCCTCATCACATTGAAGGAACTAAGGTTCACTCACTCAGTAAATCTATCTATGAAAAGAACACCTTCTATATCAGCATTGTGAAAAAGGATCAACCTGCCCTTTCAGACAGGGGAAAGCTTTTCCTCAGGACTTCCCAAACCAGCAGCCTTATTTGGTCTCCCTCTCCTGAGAGGAGCCCCTGCAGCCAGCCCTAGCATGGCTTCATGAGTGACAAGCCTCTAGCTTTGAAACCATGGCTCTTCTCAGTCCCTGGTTTCTCCTGTGATCCATAGCAACCCCCATCTCTAGGACCTCCTCCTTTTAGGTCAGCTCCTGGGAAGGAGAGAGGATGCTTTCTTCTTTACAGTAAAGCCTGCCCACAAAGAGTTCCCTAGGCTAAGTACAGACAGTCAAAAAGCCTGAGGCTGAATTGATTCAGTCTTCGTAGGTTAGTATAAGCTGCATAGTTTAAACCAAAAAGCAAGTGAACAGGCATTCACTTTTGATTCCAGAAATGAAGCCACATACCTGCAGAGGCCCAAGCCAGGAGCCAGGGGGTACTAGAGCACACCTCCCTGCTTGGTTGGAGCAGACAGGTTTGGCCAGGGCTACCCCACCCACTCGGTGACAAAGGATTTGCAGAGAAGGTGTAAAGCACCCTGGGATGCTGGAGGACTACAATTCAACTTGAATCTGGAGGGGATCTGGAACAAAAGTTCAATAAATGGATTTAACATAGATCAGTTAAGCCTGATACTGCATCCAACCAATTTACGTGATCAGAAACTGGTTTAAACCTGGAACAGAACAGAAGTTCAATGCACATAAACTGCTTTCAAACTGGCCAAAATGGTTTAAGATAAACCTGGTTGGATGTAGTATCAGACTTGACTGATTTAGGTCAAACCAGTTTATGGAACTTCTGTCCCAGACCCCTTCCTGGTTCAAGTTAACTCACAGTCCCCCAGCATCCCAGGGTTCTTTGCAGCCCTGGGCTATGTTGTCTGCTCCAGTGGAGCAGGGAGTACCTCTATGGAGGAGGGAGCAGGGAGTGCCTCTGCTCCTTAGCCTGATTCCTGCCTGTGTCCATCAACCCATAGGGATGGGGGGGACAGACCTCCACATCCCCTTAGCCAGGGTCTACACAGCACATGTGGGGAGGGATAGCCCCTGTGGTGGGGGTTTTCAACCCTCAGCAGCCCCCGCACCCCCCTTCCCTTCCCAGCTACTGTTTTGCTTCAGTGTCTGCCACAGGAGGAAGGGAAAAGGAGTCCTCTGGGCTGGATGCCTGCTCATGCAGCCTAGCATGGAGATATCAGGGAGCCCCTGCCTTGGGTGAGGGTCTTCCCCCCCAGCCCAGGGTCCCCCAACCCTGAAGAGCCCCAGGAAACTGAGGGGAATTCTTCCCCTCCCCAACCCCAGAGCTGTTTGCCTTAGCCCCTGCAAGTCTCAGGCAGCCTTGGAGAGCAGAGGGAAATTCTCCTGCTCCTCCAAGCCTGTTTTGCCTCAGCTACTGTGAGTCTGAGGCAAAACTAGTGCCAGGGGAGCAAAAGAGTATCTCTGCATGGACAGGCATGTGGACAAAAGGACTATTCCTCCCTCTATCCTGTGGCAGCAGCTGTAGGAAGCAGCAGCTGGGAAGGGAGAGGGGGTGAATTCCCCTCAGCTCCCCAGGGCTGCCTGGGCTGTGTGATTTCTGTTCCTAGCCCCAGAGTGCTCTCCATTGGAACGGCAGGTTAGAGTCCAGCTCACTTAGCTTCCTTTGTCACAATCAGTTGTATACAAATTATTTAAAATGTATCCAAAGCACTTAAAAACATTTTTTAAAGTTGCTATATTGAAGAAATTGAGAACATGTTAACTAGAATAGGTGACTTTTGAGTTTAGTATTGTTTAAAATAAGTTTAGAGGCAACTAAAAGGAATTTTCCACCATATCTAAACTAAATGAGAGGACAAAAGGGAGGACTGTCCAGAGTACAAACGATGACCCGTAAGATTAAAAAGAAGTCTCTTTGTTGCAATTTTATCATCACTTGTAAGTGACAAAGTGCCAAAAGACAGGTTTCTGGCAGCAGCAATACATTTTCTTCAGGGCAGTAAAATCATCAACAAGGTGTCTGTATATGTGTAGCACTGCTTGAATATGAAAGCAATTTTCTAAAGCCCTGTGATTTAATTCTATTGTTTTCGTCAAGAACGAATATTCTGGATCACAATTTTCAGTGACTGATAGTAATGGACATGGCTTGAAAAATGGATGAGCAAGCTCCCCAAGTGATTGCTGGACAAGGCTCCAATACCATTGACAGCAATATTTGCATTTATCTAAAAAGAGATTAAATGCTAACAGGGTTCCAGTACATTTGTCTGCCTGGCATCTGTGCATGGTTTCCATTAAATTCAAGGAAGGGAAAG